TGATGGCAATACTGTACATTCTAGAGTTGAGGCATACCTCTGTGGCCTAAGAGGATGCATTATCATGTGGGCTTTCTTCTATAACTATGTGTTTATAAAATCTGTCTCACAGGGGTTTGATAATAAAATGGGCACAATTCATGAAAACCTCTATTTAAAAATTAGAGTTATATTAGACAAAAATGACTTTTTTTTTTTAAAAAAAAAAAGAAAATTCGATGCTTGCTCCTGGGGAGGAAAGCTATGGCAAATCTAGACAGCATACTAAAAAGCAGAGACATCACCTTGCCAACAAAAGTGCGTATAGTCAAGGCCATGGTTTTCCCAGTTGCAATGTATGGATGTGAAAGTTGGACCATAAGAAAGGCTGAGCGACAAAGAACTGAGGCCTTTGAACTATGGTGCTGGAGAAGACTCCTGTGAGTCCCTTGGACTGCAAGGCGATCAAACCGGTCAGTCCTGGAGGAGATCAACCCTGACTACTCTTTAGAAGGCCAGATCCTGAAGTTGAAACTCAAATACTTTGGCCACCTAATGAGAAGGAAGGACTCACTGGAGAAGAGCCTAATGCTGGGAAAGATGGAGGGCAATAGAAGAAGGGGACGACAGAGAATGAGGTGACTGGATGGAGTCACTGAAGCAGTAGGCGTGAGCTTAAATGGACTCCAGAAGATGGTAGAGGACAGGAAGGCCTGGAGGAACGTTGTCCATGGGGTCGCGATGGGTCGGACACGACTTCGCAACTAACAACAACAAAATACTTTTTGAGAGCCAAATGTCAGTGCTGTTGAGAAGTCCAAAGGCTTGTCAATGCTAATTCTGGATGATACATTTTTTTACTCTCCTCTTCCTTGTCAGTCAGTTCTTTATACCAAGTCCTGCACTTAGCATAAAACCTTCCTTCTGGTGAGGAAATGCTTTAAGATGGAGGGATCTTGAACCTAGCAAATTCCCAGCCTCTCTCCTGAAGTGCTTTGTTTGGCCTTCAACTTACGCCAGTTAAGTAGCCCCAGAGGCTTCTGGTGAGAATAATTCTTTCTATAATCTCAGAGGAGGCAATTCCAACAAATCCAGCACTCCCTGAGGGTTCATCTGGTACCAGAGGACAGCAACTTCAGCTTATGACTACATTGGCAGTCAGAGATTTAAGAGGCTGTATGAAAAAAAATTATTTTGTGTACTTGTCTTCTTATCACTGAAAGAAATTGCTGACAGATTCTGTATGTTTTTTTTAAGTGACACTGAGACAAAAGAAATGTGTGAGGAAGCTTGTTTTAAGATTCTTTCAAAGTTCTATTAAACAAAAGTTGTCTCCTGTTTAGATTATAAAGTATCAGGATCATAAGGTCAGTGCTCTATTTAGCATCATGGGGAAGAGAAGAACAAACACAAGCTGATTTGTCAGCAAGGCATTTTCTACGCCTCTGCACGTTGACCCAGCTGCCTAGGCAAGTAAGCATTCATTCCCATGAAGGCTGCTCCTAGGATACTAGCGTATAAGAAAAGGAAATGTTCCTTTCTCTCACATACGCAAACCGCTGGAAAACATTCTTGTATTGGGACTGCTTTCTTTTGCAGGCCTTCATTGCGTGGCTTTTTTGTAAGTTATTTCTTTTCACTGTATTTGCAAATAATTTCCCATTAAAAAAATCTGAAAGCTGTTCCAAATCTTGCACAGGGAAACTTCTTGGTGAATCATGAGCTGCATCTACACTGTGTTTTTCATCCATATGAATTCAGGCAGAATCTAGTTCAGAGGGAATATTTATGATCCCTTTGAGTCACTTGATTTTAATAAAACCATTTTCCTGGAAAGCGGAAGGTCATGATTGCCAATAACGACTGCCAAGGAATTAGAGAACAAACAAGAACTCCCTTTTCCTGCAATTGGAGCCCATAACAAGAACTCTTTTTTCCTGCAGAAAAATATTAATTTTTTTAAATAAATGAAACGGAACTCTGTTTTATTTACATGTGTGTTAACTAATAGTTTGAAAACAAGAACCATGTTGGCTCACTCCAAACCTCTTCCCACTACTCAAGTTTGGATTTGAGATTTCTCGTAATTTGAATATGCAAAGTACAGATATTCAGTACCAACAGCAGGAAGGAAGGCAGCCTCCTGAATTGAGAGGGATATTCTGGCTATTATTATAATACTGAGTGTTTTCATAGCCGGAGCCACAGGTCTACATGGTCTTTGATCCATGAGGCATCATATTGAGATACAACCAGCTTTTGACCTCGTGTTCCTTTTGTTGCTCTGGCAACAGCAGTGACAAATAAAAGGGCTACAGTTATTTTTAAAAATGGGTGGAAAATGGAAGAGGTATTTGACACTTAAATTCTCAGTTGGCTTAGAGCAAAGTGGATATTACAGGTGATGCATTTCACAAGGCTGTTAAACCTGTGATTTTCCAACATACCTTTGGCTCTAGATGATTGTGGGCATTGATTTTAGGTGTGTAAGCATAGACTGTTAATTATATTTTAAAATAATATTGTCACAGGAAATAGTTTATTTTTGCTTTGTTTTTCACTTTTTATACTCTTAGTTGATTGGAGTTATTAACAAATCTTATAACAATAAAAAGTGTATAATAACAGAGAAAGTAGCTAGTGCTCCCCAAAAGATTAATATAATTGAAAAATGAGAGGCTTCCTTAAGTTTACACAAATCACCAGAGCTGAGGCTTAAATATCCTTCAGGGGATCTGTGAATGGGTAAAAAAGTCAAGATGGCAGTTACTGCCACACAATCAAAGCCCCCGTCTTTTTAAAATGTGTTTCATAACACATGTTGAAAAAGGATGAAGCTTCAGTCACAGCCACCATCTTGATCCCCCCCCCCGCCTTATGTATCTGGATCATCAATTGCTCTTGATTCTAAAGTCAACTTGTGTTTTATTGGAGGTACCAATGTCCTGGCTTATGCCACTGCTCTAAAGAGGGGTCCCCAGGTCAGTACATACCTCATCCAGAAACACGATGGTTGGGATCTCAGAGATTCAATATTTTCTTGTCTAGACAAATGTCAGCAAAGCGGTGTTTCCAATTTCAGCATTTGAACAATGGTGTATCTGATGGGAGATGCTTACATCAGAAGACTGATTGGTGATGAGATATGCCTGAACTTCCCAGAACTTTTTTTTTCTCTTTTGTTGTGCCTTTGAGTCAGGTTTTGATTCCTGACAATAGCCTGGACAAATCCCTGCAGTTTTCTTGTCAATATTTTGGGAACGGTTTGCCATTGCCTGCTTCCTAAGACTGTGAGAAAAGGTCTGGCCAAAGAGTCACTCTGCTGGCTTTGTACCTAAGGCAAGACTCACCATGTCCCAGTTTCTAGTTTGATGCCTTAACCACTACACCAACTGGCTACTCCCAGACCTTTATAGTAATTTTCCGCAATAGGGATGGGCAATCTGAGCCCTGCTTAGTCTCCAATCCCTGGAGCCATCTCAAGCCAGGTTCCTAAAATTGATGGCACAATATCCTGCCACTCTGAAATGGAAACAGTAACTGAAATATGCTTAATATAGTTGCAGTCAGAAAGTTGCTCCTTGATCCTCAGCTGTCACTTGATTCACAGGTGGCAGCTATAACAAGGACCACTTTTGGCCAACTAATCCTATGTCAATTGTTGCCCTTCCTGTGCAGGTTGGCTTTTTTTATCCAATAAAGAAAAATGTTGGGGTGTCTATGTAAAATAAATTAATGAAAGCAAACATCCGTGGTGGCACAGTGGTTAGAATGCAGTATTGCAGGCTACTTCTGCTGACTCCAGGCTGCCAGTAATTTGGCAGTTCGATTCTCACTGGCTCAAGGCTGACTCGGCCTTCCATCCTTCTGAGGTCGGTAAAACGAGGACCCAGATTGTTGGGGGCCATATGCTGACTCTGTAAACTGCTTAGAGAAGGGCTGTAAAGCACTGTGAAGCGGTATAGAAGCCTACGTGCTATTGCTATCCCCTCCTTCAGTTTTTCTTCTGAAAAGGCTGCCTTCACCTAATCTGCAGTATCACCATACATACTACAATGTACATAATACATAGAAGCAGCATATTACAAATATATAGGAACACAGTCATGAATAAAAAGACGGGCACAACACAATTGTTTCGAAGTTGCATTAAGGATATGGTGAACACAAAGAAAGGCTTCTTGGGGAGGGATTTTTTTTTACAATTTTCATTGTTTGCTAACAGTAGCAAGCAAAAGAACAAATACAGGCAAAACATGCTTGATAACGATAACAATTTTATTCTTTCTATTCTATCGTTCTATTATTTTATTCCTATATTCTATATTCATTCTTTTATTCTTTCCTCTCCACTGGGAACAAAATATAGTTGTCTGCTAACATTTAATAAACATTTTTTTTGCAACAATCCTGGAAGTGGGTTAAACACAGAATGAGTGACATCAACCCAAGGCTACTACGGGGATTTGAATGTGGATCTCCTTCAGTCCGACCTTCAAGTCACAGCATCACCCTGGGCAAGTGTTTCTTAACTTGGCGGCTTTAAGCTGTGTGAACTTCAACTAACAGAATTCCTCAGGGGTTAAATCTACAGAGTTTTACAAGTCAGCTTGGCTTTGCCCAACCCTCCGTTCCCGCCTTTCAATCCTTTGGATTTGCACCTTCTCCCCCTCCTCTCCGACTTCCGTCTTGCTTTGAATCTAGTCCACGCCCACTAGAACTTGAGCTCCCGCCACTAGCCTCCTCAAAGCGCGTTTAGCTTATAGGGATCATAGAGAGAGGCCGTGGTGAGGAGAGTTAACTTCCGGTTTTAAAAAAACTACTTCCGTTGACGGAATACTATTAATATGTATTTACCGTATCAATAGATTTATTTATTTAATTTATTTTTTATCTATTCTAGATGACTTGGAGGGAGCTTCCTTGCCTTTACAGTGTTTAAAACCAAGAATGCTCCCATGACCTTCCAAAACCCTCCCGCGCTTTTTAATGTATCTGCGCCTACAACTCCTTTGGGGTGACGTCATCACTCCGAGCCGGAAGCGATATGCTCCTCTAGAGTGCATCTATCTTGCTTATTTCGGGGCGAGGGGTTCGCCGCGATGATCCGCCTGCTGGCTCCGTTGTCCAGCCGGAGAGCTGCTTCACGGGTGAGAGAGATTGTGAAACCGGGCAGGAAGCTACCGGGGTGGCCGGGAAGGATTTATTGTGCAAGGAACGAGGTCCCCTAAGGGCCTATTAGATGACCCCTGAGAAAGCCTACTGGCACGGTATCAAAGCTCCTCATCGTATTTTCTGTGCAGGGGGGAACTTGTGCAAACTTAGCATAGGTTAATAGGTTAAATCATGGTTGTGATTCCCCCCCTCTTCATTCAATTATGTCCAATTCTCAGAGACTGTCTGGACAAGTCCCAGCAGTTTTCTTGGCAAGATTTTTCGGAAGTGGGTTTGCCATTGCCTCCTTTCCAGGGCTAAAAGAAAGTGACTGGTCCAAGTCACCCAGCTGGCTTTGTGCCTAAGGTGGTGTCCAGGCGTCTAACCTGATGCCTTAATCACTACACCAAACTGATTCTATGTTTGTGTTTTCCATGGCTATTTATGTTGTATGAGTACAGCCATGATGTTTACATCTTCTAAGGTCAGAAGAATATTCCCTCTTGGCTATCCTGGGTGATCCCAAAGTTGATAGGAGTCTATGCATAGAAAATCATTGCATACTCTCATATTGCATAAGAATTAATCCTCGGTCACAAAGTTTCTTTTCTTTTCCTTTTATTTATTTAGTAGCTATTTATTTCATTTTCTATCTTCCTTATTAGTTTAAAATAATTTCTTCCCATGGTTCTTTTTATGAATAATCTTCATAACATCCCTGTGAGACAATTAAATGGAGAGAATGACTTATCTAAGATCACAACATGAATATAATATTTGAAGGGATTCATGCTTGTGACTTCCTGATAACCATCTATTTTCTACATCACACTAGATCTCATTTAAGAATTATCTGTTAATAAGAATAAATTCCCTTGATAAATAAGATCAGTCTGAATTCACAGAACACTTTAAATCAAAGCTTGTTTTGCTTTAGGGCTATGTATAATCCCAGTTAATTGTGTTTAATTCAGGTAATCTTGATTAAGATGCTCATGTTTTAGCAAGTTGCATGAACATAACTTCTTTTTAAGGTAGCACTCTTGGAAGAGGTGCAACTTAGGATTGTGGGACTTGTCCAATGCATCTGAGCAGTGCTGCATTGAGAAGGCTTTGCAGGCTTTGTGGGAAAGTGATACCTTTTTGCATTGTACTGATGAAAAGGGTGTTCATTACTTATTAAGAACTGGTTTACCAAGTTAACCCTGGTTGCAGCAGCATTTGTGTGAAATGTTGAACCATAGTGAATCACACTGGCTGTGTTTGGGCAGTGCTATAGAGTAATTTTGGTTGGTAGTACAAATACATTAATTAGCAAGTGTGATTGACTTTTATATCCAATGAATTTTATAAAACTATATGGAAAAAATGTTGGCGATCATAATCAGAAAGCCTATTTCTTCAGTGAGCTGCTCATATTCAGCAGCACAGGGGATTATGGAATGTGATAAGAAAGATGATGGCAAGGATAATGGAATGGATATAAAAAGACACTTCTTTTAAGGTCTCTTCATCAACTCAGTACTGTGGCTAAAATAAGGATGCACAGAATTGGAGCTTTATGCTGCATTTCATCTCAGATATTTTATTTGCCTTTGCAATGATTAAAAAGGTTGGGATATTCCAGGTATAAGTAGTAGTGATACAGACTAAGCAGTCTAATGACAGTCCATCCATAACACATTGATCCTATGAATCACAAGTCAAGGGGTTTTTCAGATGTTTTAACTTGGAAGTATAGTTCCCCCATGGCCTGGCCTGCCAATATACCAATAGTTGGGCATTTTGTCAGTTATAGTCCAAAATATTTGGAGGCATTTTTCCTTTACTCAGTTGTTGAACAATTGAACAACAATCCTGGATTATTTAACTACTGTTTGCTTTAAACTACAATTTCCAGTTTGCCATAACCAAAAAGCAGCTGCTAAAGTGAAACTGAATTCTGGCTTATTCCTGTTTAAGCAAACTGGGAGAAAGAGAATTAGCTATGAACCTGGTTATCTACCTATCATTTTTCCCTCTTATGCTATAATATGGTTTATCATTCTGCTTGAGTACTATCTTTGGACTGAGATCATCTTTGTTTCATTTTCCATTCCAAGCTTATTTTTACATTCTCCAAAGAACAAAGTTTGGTTGGCAACGTAGATGGTTCAGCTGCTGTGGTGGATGAGTCTTCATTGCAAAGTAAGTATATTTCATGAGAGCATGGTTTACTTCTATGTATGTAAATTGATATTTATGAATCTTCCCCATTACCACAGGTTATTATAGCAGCAATTCTATGAACTAGCTTAGCCTGGGAGTTACTGGCTAGACCAGGGTAACTAACTGAATTCCATGGCAGAATGAAATTAGATTAGAAGCCAAGTTTTCCCAGCCTTAGGTCAACAGCATAATTGCTGTGCTATTGGTATGAGTTAATTGAATTATTATCAAATACTGGTGCTTGCTTCAAGCTATGATGTGCAGAAGGGAATAGTGGTTTTTTTTTGTTCTCTTCCAGTATTATTTTGCAAAAATGTTTTAGAAATGCACAGTAACAGGAATCCTGAAGTAACCTTGTGAGAAATCCTATGGTCAGTTCTTCAGACAAAAAAAAAAGATGCTTAACAAATATCAGAGACTACTTTTTGTATATATATAAAAAGATAACTCATCCTCTCCCAAATTGTTCTCTTCCAGTTGAGTCAATTACAATTTACATTATCCCCAACCATTTTTTTTTTTGTTTTAAGTGACTCAGATATGTGATGTGATATCAATCAGTTTAGGACAGTGGTTCTCAACCTTTTTAATGCCGCGACCCCCAACCGGTCGTAAGTCGAGGACTAAACCGGTCGTAAGTCGAGGACTACCCAACCGGTCGTAAGTCGAGGACTTTCCCTGCCCGGGAGCGCCGCACATGCGTGGTTCCGCCCCCTGTGCCGGCCGAGGCATAGCTGGCAAGCGGCAGAGACGGAGCAGGCCGACCACCAGCTGGCCCAGCTCAAGGGAGGTAAGGCACCCGCCGGAAAAGGGGGAAAAAATGGCGGACAGCCTTGCTTGGCGACCCCCGTGAAATGGTCGATCGACCCCAAATGGGGTCGCGACCCATAGGTTGAGAACCGCTGGTTTAGGAAATGAAAATTGTTATGGTTTAGAATTTCTCACAGAAAAAATTCATTGTTCATCCATATTTGGAGGTTTTTAGATGAAATTTTCTCTTTTCTTTTTCCAATTTCTTGTGCCCATATTAGGGATGTGCAAGGTGTTTGAAATAGGTTCTTCATAAAGCATATGATTAGCAAAACATTTGTTGATGAAAGTGTTTAAACAGAGACAATTTGAGAAGTCTCACAGGGTTGCTTTAAAGGCTCACATATGCACAACTGTGTATGTACGCGCTGACATTTTAATTGCAGCTGCCCTTTTAAAGCTTTTGTGAAAAACATGTTTCAGATGCTTTGAAATGCCTTCGCTGCACAACCCATTACTACCAAAAAAGAAAGGTAGTATATTCCATTTGGTAAGACAGGACAGCCTCTTTAGGGGAACAACTGCTTATGCTGGCAGCAGTTTGTTCTTGGAGCTTGCTGTTTAGCTTCCAGACTTTTCGTCTCCAGGCTAGGTAATATCATAGGTGGAATTTTGGACTGCTTCGGACAACTGCTTATACTACTCCTATTAGTCCTATATATTTGATGCGAGCATGTATAAAAGGGAAATGAGTGTTTCAGTTTAGTTATCTGTGAAGCATGTTGGTAATATTTTTCCAGTTTTACTCTGAACTCTTCTAATATATTTTTGGGGAAAATATTCTGTTGCTGGCTTTTAAAAAGCCACCCACGATGAGGCAGCAGCATTTCCCCCAAGAAACAAAGAGCGCAAGTACAGTATTTATAAACCAGATAAGGAATACTTTGTTTCTTTCCTGTCATTAGGGATGTGTGTGTGAATAGATTATTCAACATGTAATACAGGTAGTCCTCGACTTATGGCAGATCGCCCCAAAGCTACTTGCAACCCAGTTCAGAAGTTATGACATTCACTGACTCCTCTCCGTGGTCATGTGACTGCATTCATGGCCATTTGTATTTTCCCATGGTTATGGGATGGCAATTTGAGAATCATCCCCACCCACCCACCCGAAACTGGCATTTACTTTTGATTTCTGGAAGAAACTGCCCCGTAGTGAATAATGAATTTACTTAATTTGGGAAGTAAAGAGATTTTTTTAAAAAAGATCGTAAAATTGGGTCCGGTCACATGGTAACACTCATTATGACCCTCATGACTTACAACCATAATTGCTAGTCTCAACTGCAGTTTGTACCTTGAGGACTACCTGAATGAGTTAGGTATGATCTGTAACTGCTTTATCCCATTTAAAGGACCCTCTGCAATGATTGCCCTGTGTCTTTTTCTCTTTTTCTTTCTTAGAAACATCTCCTGAAGTAGTCTCCAGTGACCCAATTCTACGAAAATGCAGCCTCCCCTTCCCCAAACACCTTAAGCCAGTCCAAACATGGATCGAATCATTGCAACATTACGATGCCAGGCATCTGGGCTTGGCAGACCTGCATCCAGATGTATTTGCAGTGATGCCTCGGTAAAGGCTGTTGTGTTATTCATTTCCACAAATTCCTATAAAGCTCATAATTGCAGAGATTGCTGAAACTGAGCAAGCTATCTCACTATCCCCCTCCCGAGAATGGGTAGGTGAGGGAGGAGGGAGTTACAGACAGAAGGGATGGGGCAAAGAATATAGTTAAATAATGATTACCAAGCAAGAGCTGTGGATATTTTAAAACATTAGGAATACTCTCCAAGGGCAGCATCTGGCCCGCTTAGTGATGAATCTGTTCTCCTGGACCATACAATTCATATGAAGTTAGTGTTGTATGGGAGTGAAAATCTGGCATGTGTATATCTCAGCTATTAGAGCTATGAGCAATTA